CTTCAGACGCTCCATGGAGTGAATGTGCCAGAATTTCATTTTCATCGCAGGTTTTATGGCGGAGAATATAACGTAACCATCTCTGCTAAAAATCATAGGTGACGTCATTACGTAAATAAGGGAGTACAAAATAAAAATACAGTGCGAGAAAGTGTGAGAAATTTCAAAGAAACGGACAAATTATTTATAAAACAGCAAAAAACCCTAGTTTTGCCCTAGGCGCCAAGTGAGATGGCGCCTCCTCTCATTTTTAAGGAGCATGCGCCATCTCACTTGGCTAAAAGACAAGGGAGGCGCCAAGTGAGATGGCGCCTAGGGCAAAACCCTAGGTGCATGCGCCAATTGAGATGGCTCCTCCTTTGTGGAGCCATCTGAAACATGGTTATTTGCGTAATTTTTTCCGAAACCCGGTTATTTGCGAAATATTAATTTAATACATGGTTATTAATAAAAAAAATTCACCAGAAAGTATCTTTCCTAGATGTCACTCAGAACAGGACATGATGCCTGCTCTGATACCAATTGAAATTCTGGTATTCAGATCATAGATGTCCTAAGAGACGTCGAGACACATAATTGTTAACCCAATTCGATGAACACACACCTACTATGGGGGATACCAAGCCAGGAAGGAAATCCACTAAATAGTATTACTTTGAAGCTAAACTCCCCCGTTTACAACTTCTCACTTAATCACTACCCGTGATATACTTCTACCTAAGACTCACCTAGATATGTGACACCTATCACTTCCCTGACCGTCACAGACAGCGACTCATCCATAACTCAAACATATTCGAAAACAAACTTCACAACCATACAATTAAGAAGTAGACACACTTCAAGGACAATACCTAGACAAGACTCTTGACTAAGAATAATACTTAGATTTGATTACAAGCTTCCTCTAAGAACAATAATTAACTCTCTGCTTAAAAGCTCATGGGTGATTCATAGTTACAACTCAACTAACAACAATCTTACTCTTCTATCAACATGATATTAGAGAGGCTCACAAATTACACAGTGCAACTCTACTAAAGAGTGGATCATAAAACCGATGGAACACAAACCCTAAAGGAAAGATAAACAATACAATACGTTCCATACTATATTAGGTTTTAACCTTCTATTTATAACAATCTTCTGGATCAGATTGGGCTTCAGTAACACAACAAATCAACTATTAAATCACTGCAGAATCTTCTACTTAAAAATAGGACTTATGTCATTAGTTTCCTAATTTGTCTCCATAATTAGAAACTAATAAAACTCCTTGAAAACAGCTTGGATCTTCTTCAATCTTCAAACTGAGCGCCACATACGATAACATAATATTCACAAAATATTATGTACCTGAAATAACTAAAACATCCAACAACCCAACTAATTGTAGACACGATGTCGAGTGATTCTACATAGGACATCTTTATTTGACATGTTTCTCTGCAAGACAGGACATCCTATATTGCTGTCTAATTTGTTTTACTAAAATTAATGTCAATCATAAAATAGAGAATCAACAAAAAGGAACTTCATGTTCATATTGGCACTCAAACAGATTGATAATAATCATATCTTGTTCCACCAGGTTGGCCCATGATTTATCCAGGAAATCCATATCTCTTTGAAGAGTCTCCTTGTTCTTTGACAAGTCCATATTTAAAGTGGCATTGACAAACTCTTATTTATGTGTGGTCTGATTAGAAGTGTGGTTCATATCCACATTGTGATCAATGATAGCCAATTGAGTTTCTATCACTATTTCACTATACTACTCTCTTGGGATATGTATGTCTTTATCTAAAGCTGACAAGAAATGAGAAAGTTAGAAGCAAAAGAGTGAAAAGAGCGTGAAAAAGAACTTCTGGGTGAAGAAAAGCACTTATTTGGAAAACTAGTGAAAAAAGAACAAAAACGCATTGCTTTGCCTCTGAATTTTATGCGCCCACATTGATGTAATGATTGCACAACACGCCCGCGTTGAAAGCTAGCGCGATCGGGTTACTACTATTTGATGACATATTTTCCAACTAATTTATAAAGAAAAGAAATGGAAAAAATAGAGGATTGGCTCTGGAGAGAGAAAAGTGACGCATTAGAGCGATTTTGGAGCTTTTAAAAGCCATTGGAGAGCTTCTTCTTCGATGATTCTTCATGTTCTTTAAGTCTACACTTATGGTTTTGGTTAAATTCAACATGAGTAGCTAGATTCCTCTTAAGTTAGGTTTTATTTGATGATGGACCTGTTTCTATTTGATCGGGACATATGATCAGATGATGTTAATGTATTTTCTTCGAATATTTGTTATTATTCAGTTATTGATTGCGTTCATTGCATATTATTTGTTACAACATTCAATTTGATCTTGATAACAGTGACTACTAACCCTAGGGATATTTATCTAACATACTTTAATTGTTGAATTCACTAATTAACTAGGGATAATATAATTAGGCATTGTGATATAGGGATTAACGAGCTCTATTGCCTAGTCTGACGTTATAATTGGTCTGAGAGACCAGGGAATAGACACTAAGGTTGGTGATATACACCCTAAGGGATTATGTGTAGTGGTTAAGTTAATTTGTCATGTAATTATGTATTCATTACATGTCTATTAATGCACATTTCATCAATCAGATAGAAATAGGGGATTCCGACAATAAAACCTGACCGCTTTCTCATAATTATTCTTAAAACTTCTATCTTTTGTTTTCGACAAAAACAACCTAAAAAACCTCCATTTTATTGTTTTTAATTACATCACACAACATACCTTGTTTTAATTTCGTAATCCATATGGAGACAAATTTATTTTTTTACCTCGATAACAACGCTAGTACACTTGCTAGTAAATTGTCCATCAAATCTACCTTCCATCTCTTGCAATTCTCCAAGCCATGGACAATACAATTGCAAATAGAGTAAAACTCAGACAAGTTTTCATACTCAAGCTTCACAAAAAAATACATATCCTTGCTTTTCTACAAGAACCTTGTAACGCAGTTCCCTGGTCAAGTCAAGGTCCATCAACACCATTTCAAAATGACCAAAAGGTCTTTCAAAACTAGCCTTACTCATAATAGAGTCAGTGCACGGGGGAGTTCTGACACTACTAGCAATGATAAGAATAATCTTTAGTCTTCAATATTCCTAGGAGAGCCTATGTATACGCACCCAGACTTATGCAAAAATTTACTTTGGGGTCAAAAGATTAAAATCTCTAAACCACAGGAAAATCTTGAGAAACCTAGGGTTGATATTATAAGAATTAACAAAAAGGGTTGTTCTTACGTCCTATAGGATAGAGAAAGAGAACTCAAAATAACCCTTACCTAAATATGTTATACCCCACTTGCCAATGGAGTTCCATACAGTGAGGAGCTTCGCCTTCATGCTTGCAATTGTAAATGGTGAATTAACTTTGAGCCAGAGAACACACCCATGAAAATTATGTCTACAAGCCTCAACTCTCAAGAGATTTCATCCTCCGGTATCACAATAGCCAACCTATCCCCCTTGATACACGGTGTAGAGTTGAATGAGCGGAATACTGCATACGTCGTTCACAACTTCAACAATTTTCTTGGAGTCTTTAAATCATATAAATATTTGCTTGGTAAGGAGAAGGAGATGTCAAGAAACACACATGGCATGATAAATTTGATCAAGGGAGGGAATCCCGAAGAAAAAAAATGTAGAGTTATGTATGAATAGTGCAATTTTGTCATTGCCTCTCTCGTTCAATCTTTCTCCTTTTCTTCTGAAAATTTGAAATATGTCAATTGTGTCGTAATTTAATATTTATGTAATTAGAATTATAAATAATACACTATGATTTTATAAAATACCGGTAATTTAAATTTATGATCTTGTACAAGTATAAGTCAACAAAACAATTTAAGAAGAAACAATATTTTTACTATAATAAATTTAGCATCATATTTAGGGATAAAATTGGAGAAAATCAACCCCCTTTTAACAAAAAAAAAAATCCTTTGGTAGTTTTGTTTAAGAAAAAAATGGTTAAGAGGAATATAGCTATCAAATAAAAAAGAAAGAGCATTGCTAAATATTACGAATGTGCAACACAAGAAATGTAAGAAATACACATGTATCTTTTAAAATTAAAGTCAAAAGCTGTTATATTGTATACATGGTTAAGACTAATTCTTGTATTTCTTCACATTATTCTTTGTGCAAACTAGCATTTTCCAAAAAAGAAGAAGTTAATTTTGACTAAAAAAAGCAAGAAACAACGTTGAAATGAAATTTGTTAATGTTTAGAAAATTATGAGAGAAAGTTCAAAAAGAGTAACTTATACTTTGGAGAAGATGATCACGCTATTGGAACATCTAATGCCCCTCCATGAGAGTTAGTATATAGACAAGATAATGAAAAATAAATAAATTGATAACTTTTTAAAGCGTTTTTGACAAACTTGAAGGCGTAGATGGCCTTCCTTACAAAAACATTAAAGATATTGAAAGAACATAGTTATTAGATTGAGAAATACTTTGTACTGAATCTTTGGTTGTTTATGTCTATGCATGTTTAGATTAAGACAATAACATATATGAATAGTTTGTATAAAAGATATGTTTATGTTAAATACTTTTACGCTTAGATTTAAATTTATATGATTTCCAAAATTTTCAAAATTCAAAAATATTTTTAATTTTCAAAAGTTTCAGAACATAAAACAGTAAATCACCCCAAACAAAGCCTTGGATTTTTTGTTTATTTCAATACTTGTCTCTCAATAGATCTTAGGAAAACAAAGAGATATATTTCCATTTCATATCACAAAATTTGATTGACTCAAATATTAAAATTTCTATTGGGACTTTAATGAAACGGCCTTCTGTAATGTGATAAACCTTCTACTATAGACATTCTAAACAATCTCAAAAAAATGTAACAGGAAAGGAAACACTGTCGTTATTTATTCCCTAAAGATTAACATCCTGACTAAGAAGTGTGTGCATCAAATCCTTATCTCCATATTTTCACCAAGCAATCATGGCTAGCCGAGGCAATCAATTCATCTTCGGGTGAATCTGCAAGTCCAACAATCAAGCCTTTGTGTGCCATAACTGACATTGTTCTACTGCTCTCAGTTGGACTCCAGAATTCAAGATTCTGAAAAATATTGTCAGTTTAGAAGGGATTGGAGTTTCTAATTTATGCTTAAAAAAAACTATAATTTCAGTTGGAGTTTTGAACACATTGTATACAGAAAGCTAAATTTGTTACCTGATAGCCACCAATAACTAAGAGGTTAGAATATGCTGGATGAAACATGCACGATTGAAACTTGTTCCCGTTTGAAAGCAACTCACTGATGCATTTTCCATCTGACCAGACTCGTGCACTATCTTCACTGACAGTAGCAAGAAACTTCCCACTTCTATCCCAACAAATGGAAGCAACATCTTTATCATGTGCCTAGAAGGAAATGAAATTCCGTTATGATACATGTTGCAAAACCCAATATTCAAGAAGTGAAATGAAAGGTAAAAACTATGGTATATTATAGATAAGAATTAACCTTTAAGTTACCTTTAGATTGCACACAACTTTAGCAGTCTGAACATCAATTAGTTTGGGAATGTTTCCAGTAGCAGTAGCTATAAACTTCCCATGAACAGGCTGAAATCTAACTTGTTTACTACCTCCCTGCAATACATTATTAGTATTAATTCGCTTCATATTTTTAAAACAAGTTTCTAAGCATATGAAGGAGTACATTACATCTAGCTAAAAAAGCAACACCACGGTTAAGAGCTCGTTATATATTGATTATTCACTATTCATTTCTAGGGCAAATAGCAAAACCGTGGTTAAGGGCTATTTATACTGATTATTTTACATATTATTCCAAACTGACCTTAGTTATATGTAAGCTAGAACGCTGGTTCACATTCCACATACGAATTATATCATTGCTATCACACGAGCAAAGAAGGTCCACCTTAGTTGGGTGGAAGTCCAGTGACATTACTTGTTCAGAATGTCCAGAAAGGCTGAACAGTGATTTTTTTGGCTATACCATGAAACAAGACAAAAAATAGATAGTTATCATTAAATTACCACAAAAAACAATGAAGAAAAGGCGAATGAAAGTGTGCAAACAGGAAAGAAAAGATAAAAGTGAAGGGAAGATGGAAATAATCCACATTCTAAATAATTGGAAGTTATGAATATACACGAAGACAATCAAGACAAGAAGAAAGTAACAGGTAACAGCTTACTCTGTCTGCATCCCATACTCTAACAGACTTATCAAAAGAAGATGTTGCAAATATAGTTGAACCTGGTCTAAACCGAACATCTGTGATGAGAAGTAAATGTGTTTCTTCAGTGGCATAATTATTAAAAGTGTCCACCTTCCAAATAAAAACCTGTCATCACAAACTACAGTTACTTCAGAACACAAGGAAAAACCCAGACCGTGATTAAGAAGGGATAGGCTAAGATAAATTTGGAGGTTGATTAGCTTGAACAACCTTCTTGTCATGTCCAGCACTTGCCAGAATTTTTCCATTTGATGAAAAATGGCTGGCCAAAACCTTGCTTTTGCTCGAGTGAAGGCATCCAATTTCTTGGAGTGAAAAATCTATCAAATGGTTAGAATTAGAAATCCTTGTGTTAGACATAAATATTTATAATCTCAAGAAGAATAAGATTAAAGGCCACATAATAATCTCGTTATATGCAGTTCAGCACTACCTAAGGGGATGAAAAAATACAAAAAGGTTAATGGTATGTCATACATAAGCCTCTATCATCATACTGACAAACTATCATGAATTGATGATTGACTTCATCCTGCAAAAAGTTTTTCGTCACTCTTACTAGTTACTACAATAACTCATCTGAAACTACACCACAAGATTAACTTACTAATAAGATTTTAAAACTATACTATGCTAAAAGAAAATTTTGTTATGGGTGTCTCTACAAATCAGTATAAAAAAGGATACTCTGAAAATGAAGCACACTGTACAGTTTGCATCAAGACAGAGTACTCTTAGCATAAGTCCATGAATATTTTACCTTTATTTTCATTTCTACTGTTTGTTCCTGAAATTCGTTTCAGATTTTTAAAAGGCATATTTCGATGATCAGAATTTCCATCTTCAATAGACAGGTAAGAATCCACATTTTCTTCTTCTGGTTTTTCATCTGCTGCATCTACACAGTCCTATTGTTTATATTCCATTGGAAAGAGTACAAGTTTAGAAGACAGGAATCAAATTGACAAAAGAAAAGAAAAGAAAAGTGAATTAACAACAATGGTAGTGGATTTAAACAAAATCATTCATTGTAAGTAGGAATGAGAAGATATCAAGGTTTTTCTTTTAAAATATATGATAACCTACCAGCACAGGTTCTTCAGGTCCCTTGAGGTCTGTTATCTTTCTCTTTGCGCGGTTCTGATTGAGAATAGGTACATATTTTTCAGAAACATTAGCATAATGATAACTTTCTGTTGCTGACAAGGTACAGTGAAAGTGCAATGACTTGGAACTTTAAAATTTTGAATACCATACATCAAGATTTTGGGACTGCTTCTGCATTTGAAGATCCGGCTTACATTGAGGTTCTCCAACTATAATTTGGTCCAGTATCTGTATCATCATGGAATTAGTTTGCATGGAAGACAATACAATAACATGAAAACAATTCATATGAAATTTGAAATACTATAGACAACTTTATAAAATTGCATGTATAAGATAGAATGGGACGATAATAATGACAAACAAGAGCTTGTTATAAGAGGGAAACGAAACAACAAGATAATCCTTATGTCAAGTGCAAAGGATCCTCATGAAAACCATGATGTTGGACACAAATACCAAAGAATGTTTATGCCCTTAAATTATTTCACAGGTGATGAAGAAGTAACACAAACTTGAAGTTATCTTCATCTACTTAAATTTACTTTGGTATAGAGTAGCCATCCTCAAACCGTAATCAGTTTTGTATAATACTCTTATTTATCATGTTTGGTTAATCCAAAACAAGTCTTAAATAAAGTCATGTTTCACATAGAAACTTTATTGTCTTCTCCACTTGTTTGTTAATTCATCATTTTGACTTTCTCTAGTGTTCAGACTACGGAATCCAATGAATTAAATTATTAATGAGCAATCTTTACTATCAAAGAGAAAAGATTGTGAACTAGGCTTTCCTGGCATGATGTTTCACTTTGTTACAGGATCTACCCCCACTATTATGAGAAATAAAGCACCCCTGAAATCCAAAAATCAGAACAAATGTCTTCCAGTATATCAACCAATGGGACACGAAAACACAAACCTCTCTATCCTTACTGCTTGATTCATTCTTGGGAATCTCTGGATATTGACCGTTACATCTGATAGAGATTCTAGGAGCTGTGAAAGTCTGACTATTAGAAGTACTTGTATGTTCTTTACTAAGGACTGCGTCCTGATTTTGTCTGTTCAACACATGAGGCTGCTGTCCATAGTTTGGTATTTGCGGAGGTGAAGTTAGCATCTGGTTCTGCAGAACCAGGAAATTTCTAGTCAATAAAAAAGGATAACAATGTAGTACCACCAACAAACTTTCATATACACTTCGATTGAAATTTAGAGAAAGACTGAATACAAATGGAATTCTTTGTCCATAAGATCCACAAGCATACTACGTCACCCACATTTAATCGCAATTCATTTGTTGGCACAAATTTAGGAGCTTCATAGTTGTCTGCAAACACAAGTAACCATTAAGATTTTAAAATATATAATATGTTACTTACTAATCGGCTAAGCAATAAAAAATATTTTCATTAAAATTGAATATGAATTTTATTGTTTACATCCAAATGGAGAATAGGTTCAAGACATACTTGTTACTTGACCATTACATCTGGTAGAGATTGTAGGAGCTGTGAAAGTCTGCCTACTAGAAGTAGTTGTAAATTCTTGACTGATGATTGCGTCCTGATTTAGTCTGTTGAATACTTGAGGCTGCTGTTCATAGTTTGGTATTTGGGAAAGTGAAGTTAGCATCTGGTTCTGCAGAACCAGGAAATTTCTAGTCAATAAAAAAAGATAACAGTGTAGTACAATCAACAAACTTTCATATACACTTCAATAGAAATTTAGAGAAAAACTGAATACAAATGGAATTCTTTGTCCATAAGATTCCACAAGCATACTACATCACCCACATTTAATGGCATTCCATTAGGTTGCACAAAATTGGGAGCTTCATAGTTGTCTGCAAACAAAAATAACCCTTAAGATCTTAAAATATATAATATATTACTCACTAATCAGCTAAGGAATAAAAAATCTTTTCATTAAAATTGCATATGAATTATATTGTTTACAGCCAAATGGGGAATAGGTTCAAGACATACTTGTTACTTGAGTTCCATCTAAAGGCAGCATTGCTTTTTGTCTTGCATCCAGAGGGTTTCTAGGTATGGGAGGCCCCACATGCATACGAATTCCACTATCCTGAAAATTTAAATGACATTAAATAAATCTGTCATGACATAGACTGAGTTTTCTATTCTCATTGTTATATGTTGTTTTTATCATGTATACTGAGCTAGAGGATACCTTATAGACTTGCTTCTGGAGCTGCTTGCCTACATCTTGCGATAGGTAACTGACAAAACAAGATAACGGTATATGTAAAGAGAAATATTGAGGATATTTAGTCAATATATAAAGCCAATTTAAAATGTGCAAAGCAACTACACACAATGTACTCCTTTTAATATACATAACTTTTTTTTATCAAAACAACTCTTTTTTAGATTTATCATGTAAAAGTGAAACAAGTCAATGCCTATGAAGGGTGAAGTAGCAGTTATATATAGTGTAACTATAGATTAATGAACCTATTGTGGACTATTCTGTTTATAGTTTTAAAGGAAAACAGATCTGCATGAGCTGAAAACAATAATCACATGATAACCGTTCAAATTGAAAATATGCATCTTAACAATTACTTTGAACTAATCCCTGAAAAGAACTCCATGTTATTTTCACTCATAAGAGCAAGCACTCTTGGATCAATATTTTCTGCAAAATTGCCAAGGTGCTCATTATTTTGCAGTCTTGAAGGAATCGAGTGAGAAGCTTGTTGTGCCATGATGTTGTTAAAGCTAGAGCTAGCTTGAAACTGTTGAGATCTCTGCTCATTCATTGGTATTTGGGGAATTCTAAAAGAGGAACTATCATCCATTGGAGTATTGCTCATTCTAGGGACCTGAAAATTGGCAAATGTATGAATAATAAATGACTAGGATTAAACACGGGGTTAACAACAAAAGCACGGACACCTCAGATACGACCCCGACGCTGACACAACGACATCGATAATAATTTGAAAAATGAATAAATTAAACTAAATCACAAGTGTTGGTGCAGGTGTCCAACACAGTCCAACACAGACACAGACACACATTTTTTTCAGAGGTATCGGTGCTACATAGAGTAAGCAAATAAGATTATCATTTATCATTTAGTTACCACCTTATTAGATGACTGTGGATCAGACCCTTGAAGCCTGATTACTCTAGACAAATATGTCTCATAGAAAATAGACCACCATTCATGCAGAAATCCTTCTGGAGAATCTACCTCTAAGTCCAAGCACTTGGGATCTGTACTCATCAATTCAAAATGAGATTTAGGACACCAATATCAACATTCAACACTAAAAAGCTTAAATTCGATTATTATTGTTTCAATTTCAAATAACTTAACGACAACTCAAAAAACCTAATCAAAATGAAATTCATTATTAAAAGTAGCAACAATTAATCCCAAAACATACGAACTCCCCTGCACCAGTCCATCCACTAGTACTAGATTATATCATAATCAATAAAAAGCTTTAACTTAATCATCACTGTTTCAATTTCAAATAACTTAACGAGGAAGAATCCAACTCAAAAACCTAATCAAACACAATCTGAAAACTCCAACTACCAATTGAACAAACCCTATAACTAATCTTATCTAAATCAAATCAAAATAAACAGTGATCCCGCCAAATTCACATCACCAACTTCAACATCATAACAATTCAAACATGAAAAACACGAGAAATCAACAAATAAACCGATTAAACAAACGTACGTACATACATACATAAGTTCGTATACAAATATACATAACATACACGTAGGATTTTCGGGAACGGTGGTTTCGTTCATGAAAACCGCAGCAGTGCTATACATTCCCTTCTTCATAAGATAATCATGCAAAAAGTATCGAAACCTACAAAAACAAAATCAAAATCAAAACTAGAAAAACCGAATAAAATCAATCGATTAGTATTCCATCACTCCATTTCTCGATCACTCACATTGCATGAGTATCTAACGAATCGTCATTGTTCGAGTCCATGACGAAAACGATATCGATCAATGCACGTAACGTAAGCTAGTTTTCGCAACGGAATTGAATTATTGAGAGCGAAAAAATTTGAGATGAAAATTGAAAAGGGATTGAAATTGATTTGAAAAAAAGAAGAAGATGAAGTGAAGAGTGACGCTGTGACAGTGCCATGCAAATAGGGACGAAAATCGGGATTAGGGGTAAAGAAATTGTATGAGAGAGTAACACTATATATAGTACTGAGAAGAAAATTAAGTGGGTCCCACGCGATTATCTCGGGGGGTGGAAATTTTATGAATTGACTTAAAAATATAAAATTCGTTTGTTTTTCTTTTTCTTTTCAATTTGTTCAATGTACATAAGGATAAAATGAGGTGTCATGAGATATTTTTTAATTTTTAAATATATTTTGTTTGAAATTTAAATAAAGTATGTTTGACTTTTTAACTTTTTCTATATATATTTTATTTGGTATTAATTACTATTTTTGAGAGATGGAAACCTATTAATTCATTTTATGTACTAATTTTGAATCATACTTTATTGTATAACATTTATTTTATTTTGATTTACTTATTTTTACCTTTATGCTAACATTTATTTATGTTATAAAGTGACAATCTATGTTAAAAGTAGGTATTATTAAAAAAATATGACCAACTAAAGTTAGTAATTCGATCAGACTTAGGTGTCTGAATTCTGAATACATTGTTGATTCACAAATTTTAAAGATGGATAAACTTAAAAACACTCTAGACATATTCAATCATATACACATTTTTTTTAAAATCTTAAATCTTGAACTTATAATTCTTTGTAATAAAACCCAATTACTTTTTCGTCTAATCTCAAATAAGACGGAAAAAAATAAAATAATTGATCAAAATATATGTACATCTTTAAATTTATATACACGTATTTGATACATGTAGGTGATTTTAATATGAGAAAATAATTATTTTATTTTTTTACTATTATTATTTAATTATTATTATTTTTTTAAATTTAGTTGAGGGTGAGTGTTCAATGTATGGATGGATAAATTTTAAGATAAATATGTTTGACTTTACAAAAATTTTAAATAATATTTTATTTAGTATCATCAATTACTAATTGTGAGATGGAAACTTACTTATTCAATTATTTTATTTTTGTTGTATTTATTTTAAATTAGACTTTATTGCGTAATATTGATTTTAATTTAGTTTATTTATTTTAGTTTTATAACATTTATGTTATATATTTGGTAATATATATATTAAAAGTAACTTTTTTTTTTTAAATCCAATAAAAATTAATAGTTATCAAATTTAGAGGATAATGATGAACGTTTGACCGTGATAACCAGTTGATTTTGTATCTTTTGAAGTGAGAGTGTATCTACAAATGTTTTATACACATGTCTCTGGTTTCTCTAAATGTCTTGACTGCTCCTTGATCGTTTATAATGTAGGATATTGATATGATTAGAAAGATTAAGCCTACTGCTTCTAATGGGCATCGTTTTATCCTGGTCACTATTGATTACCTTATAAAGTGGGTAGAAGCAGCCTCGTTTGCCTCTGTTACCAAGAATATTGTGGGCCAATTCATCAAGCATAACCTCATCTGTCGGTATGGTATGATCATGGAACTCTGCACGCAGTTGAAGATTAAACACCACAATTCTTCTCCGTATCGACCAAAGATGAATGGCGCAATGGAAGCCATTACGAAGATTTTGCAGAAGATGACGGTGACATACAATGATTGACATGAGATGTTACCATTTATTCTTCATGGTTATCGCACTTCAGTATGTCCATCAACTAGGGCAATCCTGTTCTCTCTAGTCAACGGTATGGAGGTTATCTTACCTGTCGAAGTCCAGATTCCTTCCTTAAGGATTATGAAAGACGCAAGTTTAGATGAAGACGAATGCATTCAGACTCGACTTGACCAAAAAAATTTGATTGATGAAAAGAGGCTTGCGGTTGTTTGTCATGGTCAGATGTACCAGAAACGCATGATCAAGGCCTTTAACAAGAAAGTCAGACATCAGGTGTACCATGATGGTGATTTGGTAATAAAGTGTATCATCATACCACAAGGTGATCCCATGGGCAAATGGTATCTCACATACAAAGGGCCATTTGTAATCAAAAAGATATTTTCTAGCCGTGCTATGATACTTACCACAATGGACGGTGAAGATTTTCCGCACCTTGTGAACGCGAACATAGTCAAAAAATACTACGCATAAAAGAGACCCGCTAGGTTGACAGGCCTAGGAAAAAATAACGGCATCCCGGCGAACCAAAAGGGTTCGGGCAAAAATTAGGGATATATATATATATATATATATATATATATATATATATATATATATATATATATATATATATATATATATATATATATATATATATATATATATATATATATTATACACCGACAAGTCGAAAACCTGAAAATGAGGCTTGGGCAAAAAAGGGTATCCTGGTGGACTGAAAACCTGAAACGGCAGTCCAGACAAAAGTTAGGGATTAAAGCATATGACTATGCCCCGTTGGATCATCTACTTACAACAAGCTTTTTTATCAACGTCAAGATGAAATGGTACAGATCAATCAAGTCATCTTCTTTCTACGGCAAGTGATGAGATGCTTGAAGACATAAAGGCAATAGCAAATTTGAAACTCGATGGCATCATTTCCACATAGCTATTTTTCTTGTTTATCACTTTGTGTTTTTCAATTTCACAACTTCCTCTTACTAGGATTTTTGTCTCCTTGTATAAAACTGTTTATTCATAGACAAACTTTCAAAATCAATACAACTCAGTCTATTTCAAAATTCAAAACTGTTTGTTTTTACTTCCTTTGTTTTGTTTATGAATACGTTCAATGGTTGCTTTGAATGAACATATACATTTGAATATGATCACCATTTACAAATATTTTCATAAAAAATAGGATTAGCATCTATCGAAGACTCTAGGAGTTGGGATAATGTTTAAGTCATTCATAAATCCTCAAAGAGCAACCTCCATGAAACTATCTCTAAAGAGCTATCTTCACAAGCTCATCCCTAACAGAGATATATTCTCTAACAAGTCTAATATGCCCTCAGGCAGAAATTGGGCATCTACCAGCAGTTCACCTCCATATCCCTAATGGATAGCTTGACCTGATCATCATCCCCAATAGGCCCCTAGCAGATAAGAAAGTGTGATCATTTCCCTAGCATACAATGGAGACTTCCTCAGCGCAATCTATAAAATCAATCCCCATCAGAGTTTATTTCCTCGACACAGTTTACAGGAATTTAATTCCCCAGCGGAGTTTATTACTCCAATGCCATAAATCCCTAACAAAATTCTCTCCTCCAACATGATTTAATCAAAGTTGCTATCCCCAAAAGAGTTGCTACGGTATCTGAAATTTGGACAGATAGCACACTAGAGGAATATCCATCTCTTTTATCCTCAGTCAGGGTACGTAAGAATCAAATCCCTCCACAAAAAGAACGATGAACGGCCGAATCTCCTTGAATGCCTCTATCCTAAAGCAGAAGTCAAAAATCCCCAGCGGAGTATCCTCAAACAGAAAGCGGGTATCCCCAGCTGTTGTACCCCAAAATTTTCCCTCTCATTTTACTCAACACATGTCAATGAAGGTCCTCAATTTGCTCAAGGAAGCCCAAGAGTTGACCAGACAAACTCACTCCTAAGGCAAATGTAACTCAAACTAGGGTTTCCATTTTCATCAAGATGGGTGAAATCCAAAGACCTCATATGCTCTCCTTGGTCCTAATGTGTTATCAAGACCCTCCATGTCAAATTTCAAGCCTTGCATAAGAAGTTTTCTCAGTCAACTGCTCAGATACTTGAGAATCGACTGTATTAGGTCAAAAGTCAACTGTGGCCCACATACAGTCAAACCTCAAGATTTTTGGTCAAAATAAACATTTTGAAGTGACTTTCATCATTTGATCAAGGGTTGATCATGATTCTTCATGGAATTCCCCAAATTTATCAAAACCCACAAGTTGCTAAATTAGGGTTTCTTAGGAAAAGTCAGCCAAACTTTGACCAAGCATAACTTCCTCATACTTTATCAAAAATTTTCCATCCAAGGATCATTTTGAAGAGGATGCAATTCCATATAATTCTTCTTCATCCCCAAGTTCAAAATATGTACTCATCAAAAGATATGAATTTCTACATTATAAGTCCTTTTGAAAAGTCAACAAAAACACCTTTTGGGTCAAGGCTTCTTACATGAACATGGAGGACCAAATTGAAATGAGACCAAAAGGGTTGCTTAGGGGACATGCTAAACTTTATAAAAAGTCCAAGAACATCTCTCTAGGGTTAAAATTGGAGGAGATATGCCTTGTCAAAGTTGACTTTTTTTGCAAAATTGCCAAAAGTCAAATATGCTCAAAAGTGCATTTTTTACCAAATGGGCTTAGCATTTCATGATTGCACCTCACTTGTAGCATGTTCCACGACCCAAATATCCAGCCACATGTCATTTGCTTCATTTACCATTTTATTTTGACTTTTTATTAATTAAAAATTGAATAAAATCAAATAATTGGTAAATAATATCAAAGATATATTTTGATATGATTTTTTGACAGGATCTCAATCAAATTATGCTATGATATCAAGACCAAATCGAATCAAGCATGATTGGTACAAGATTGGCTTGATTTGGCTTGATATAGAAAAATATCATACAAGGATTAAGACCAAATCAAATCTTCATAATGGACCAAGATTTAGCTCGTTTTTGTTGACCTAATGTATTCCATTACATATACATAACATATCCAATGCACAAGGACAAGGTTTTGCAGTCGTGAAAGATCAAGAACAAACTCAAAAAAGTTGTCAAAAAGTAGGGATCGAATTTCACTCCACAATACCTTTCAAAGAAATTTAAGGCCAGCAATCACATCTTGGGCGTGCACTGAAGCTATCCCAGTCATTTGCAAGACCTAAAGCATCAATAATCGCGCGT